TGCTGGGCAGTTGTCAAAATTCCCACTCTCTTCAAGTGCCAGATATACATTGAATATATTCACACGGAGGGCCACTGTTGCAAAATTCCACACTGAGCCAGTCCATCCAGAAGATGCAGAAGTGGGACTGCTTTAGTCAACTACTCTGGCTAATGCCTCAAGTTTCTGCATACAGAATGGATTATCTGTTAAAATTCTATCTTTAATGAATTATCTTTTCTTATTTGCTTCTCAGTCACCTAAGTGTGGTGCTATTTCCTACAAGTTTCTCAGATTGAAAAATATAATTCTAAGGAATGAGAACATGCTAAAAAAGTAAAATGCTATTGCTAAAAAAATTGGCAAAGTGCAGCTGAAAAATTATTGAACTCAAACTCAGTTCAAATTCTGGATCCTGTGGTTATTTGCTAAGTGTTTTGTGGAAAATCAATTTACGTCCACGGGCTTCAATTTTCCATCTGTAAACTGGATGGATTAACATAGCTTATAGGTTCTTAACTAATGGATGAGGTTCAAGGTATCCATGAATTTAGTGAATTTTTTACATGACTTTATGAATAGTGATGTGTGTGCTTGTTTCACTTCAACCCTGTCTGCAGAAGATGATCCATAGGTAAAGCTAATTAAAATTAGGGTCTCAATTAGGATAATGATCAATAAGTAAATAAGTTAAGCAGTAATAGATAAGTTATAAGATCCCACCTTCTACTTTATCCTATAGCTACATTGACCCATCTGACTGTTAATTCAGAAAAATCTAGTATTTTGGATTTGAGACACATTGTAGCTATGAGTGCACAATGATGGGAAGACTTAGAAATTGTATGAGCATAGTCATTTTGGGATATTAAATCATACAATTCAAACCAAAAGTCATCTCTGATGCCTAAACTATTCTATATGTTTTGTTCCTATCAATTTGCGTCACACCAGCTATACCTTTGTCAAGTTTCCATAGCATTTGCTAAAGTGATGACCACAGACCAGTCTCAACTCAGTAACAGAATGAAGAATTAGTCAAAATATAAACGTTTCTTTTTACAATATTCCCACATTAAGCTTAGAACATTCCCAATTCTTTGAACAGCCTTAAAGATAGTGGGGTCATGAATTATTACTTCCTTCTAGAATAAGGGAATCTGGGGTATAAAGACTTGCTCAAAGCCACACAGAATACCATCACTGAAGCAGTTAGTTTCTGACTCCAGAGCATTGGAGTTGATCAGGATTCATTGTATCATAGGCAGAAGAAGTAACTAATTAGTGAAAATACCCTGCCCTTACTATTTTCTTCTAGTCAGACTCTTGGAAAGTCTAGTTCTATCTTCCAGATGACCTTTAACCTCTCTGAAGTTCAATCTTCCTTACCTACAAATGAGAGATTGCTGTAGCTAACTCATATGGTGTTGAAAATTTCATCTAGGGTAAAGTCAAGTCTTTCTACAGATTTATCTCCAGCACCAAGTATGGCACCCTACACACAGCAAGTACTGAGTAAATGCTCTTTTCTGACTACTTCCTTTCCCCATCTTCACTGACCAGTTGTCTTTAGGAGCCAATATCATCCCCAAAATGTCATAGGGTATCAACTGAGAGAATGTACACTAACGCAGTCTTAAAATTCCATCCCCAAATTGCTTTTTCCTCCTGATTCTCTCAACTGTCTTTGTCTCCTAGAGAACTGCTTATCCTAACAGCATTTCAACCCCTCTGTCTCACGTTCTCTTAGTACTTCCAGCTGTTTTTCCTCATTTCCTTTTTGGCATTCACATTCTCCACTGGACCTGAAGGAGTCTCCAATTCAATGGTCATTGATTTTCTCAGGTCATTTGTCCCAGTCTATGAAGAGTTTCCCACCTAATCTGGTTTTTGAGAACTCGCAGTTACCTTATCTGGGATGAGCCCAAGTAGCTCCCGTTAGACTCAGTCAGAAAGCTAGCGGGAGACAGAGAGAAAACACTTGGATTTCTTGGCTCTTCCAGGACTGACCCCAGTGACTATCCAATCAAAGTACTTTCTAGCCACACACTTGGAAACTCTGTGAGTCAATTTCTCCCTAGGTATCAATAGATATATGCTTAGAGTTGATTAATATTAAAGCCATCATACCATATTTATATTTTTTAATAGTGAAACTCATAATGGATGAGTAATAGTGAGTAAAAGGTCTTCTGTACCTTTCCAAGAAGCTGAAAAAACTACTCTGCTCCAAAGTACCAGAAGATATTTTTCTCTATCTTAGATGAATCTGACCCAATTTCTCTATTTTGATTCATTCTTTTCACTTTTTTATCATTGTTCATTTATTTGTTCATTAAAAACATTGGGGGAAGGGGAGATATCTATTTACACAGACAGTGTACCAGGCTGCAGGCATTTACAAATAAATAAGGTATAGTTTTTTTCTCCAAGAGGGATAGAGTTAGTGGATAAAGACAGACATGCACACAAATAAATATCCACACGATGAAATGAGGGTAACAACAGAGGTGTGTACACTATATGAAGATGGTATTAAGGGGTGAGTGGTTGCTTCTTACAGCAGGCTGTAAGGAAGGAGTTCTGATTTAGGTGATTTGATCTGTTTGAAAATGCAATAATTAAATAATGGAGGAAATTGTGCTGAAGAAGTCATCTGAGATTTCATCATGACATAGGGCACATTATAGAGTTTAGACTTGATCTTCTAGATAATGGGCAGCTACTGGAAAAAAAATTAAATAGGAATGAAGCCCTTTAGAATGCTCACTCTGACAACCAGTGAGGGACACAGATGGGTGAGAAAGATATAAGAGGTGACAAAAATAGTGAAAGAGTGGGATGAGGTGATGGGTGTCTGAACTAGGAAAATGGCAATAGGAGTGAAGAGAAGGCAACGGTTTTAAAAACATTTTAGGGGTTGAAAATGATAAGATATGTTGATGAATATGTATGATAGATGAGTCAAGGAAAAGTAGAGTAGGGATCCCATACTTAGGATTGAAGTGTGGTTCTTAGATATAAGCACGGCTCAGAGAGTCATATCAAGCTGTTTTTATTCTGACAACATTCCCCAATAAACAAGGTAGTATATTTTCTGATCTGTAACCCCATATCTTGTCCTGCTTTGGTCATAAGTGCTCTTTCCAAAATAAAAATTAAAAAAAAAAAATCCCTCTGGCTGGGTTACATCCACGCATAAATCACTTCTTGGCCACTCCTTTGCTCTCAGAATTAAGCCCAAGCTCCTTACATGGATTCCACATTGCATGATTTGGTCTCTGCTTACCTTCCTAGCCTTTTTTTGTGTGTGTGTGTGAGGAAGATTAGCCCTGAGCTAACATCTATTGCCAGTCCTCCTCCTTTGCTGTGCCCATCTTCCTCTACTTTATACGTGGGACACCTGCCACAGCATGGCTTGATAAGTGGTGCATAGGTCCACGCCCGGGATCAGAACCTGTGAACCCCAGGCCACCAAAGCGAAGTAAACTTAACCACTACACCACTGGGCCCACCCCCATCCTAGCCTATTTACCCACTATTTCTCCATCCCAACCTCATTTCCCTGTACTGTGATCCAACCACAGTGAACTTCCCTTTCATTTTACCTCTATATCATTGAAAGTGCAGTTTCCTTTGCCAGGAACCACCACCACCACACCACACACACACACACACACACACACTCACACTATTGCCTGGCAAACTCCTCATTATGTTAAAAGCACATTTGAAGTGTCATGTCCTTTGTGCATCCTCTCCCTGTCCCCTATCCCTCAAATGCAGAGTTTATTCCACATCTTCTCTCCCTAGGCCTTTTACATCTACTCAATTATAACACTTGCCACTCTTATTTCTGATAAAAAATATTCATTAAGCCAAGCACTATGCCAGTGGCTAGGGATACATTGATATATAGCACAATCTAAGTTGCTACTATCTTAGAACTTACTCCCTAGCAGTAAAGACAAATATTAAACAATCACAGTTGGGCGGGTTATTAAGGAAAGTATTTTGTACTTTAAGAGTATAGTCCTTGAGATTAACCAAACCAGAGTTCATTTGTACTGGATTATAACATAATACATTATAATTATAATCATGGAGGAGGGAGCTCGGGTAAACATTCTTCTTATGACATAGATCAATTTAAGGCTAAGGGAATACTAAAACTCAGGGACTGCACAGTCAAGACCAAGGTCATGATTGAGACCCACTATTTGAAGCAGGGGCAGGAGCTCTGGGAGCCTGTGATAATTTGATTAATAATAAGAAATATATATTTGGTCTTTGATGCCTTTCCTGGCATAGAAAACCATTGGAATTTCCTGTGATAAGAGCCATGAAGGTATCTTTTGTTATGTTAATGAGGCAACATTTGGAAAGCCCTTAGATAACCAAAGGATGGGGGCTGGTTGCCAGGGGAACCAACCAAGTGATTAGAGGGTTGGAATTTTCAGTATTTCCCACCCCTCAACCTTCTGGAGGAGGGGAGAGGGGCTGGAGGTTGAATCCAAATCCCAATGGCTAATGATTTAATCAATCATGCCTATGTAATACAGCCTCCATAAAATCCCAAAAAGACAGGGTTCAGAGAACTTACAGGTTGGTGAACACATCCATACTGGGAAGGTGACACAGCTCAGCTCCACGGAAATGGAAGCTCCTGCGCTCAGGACCCTCTTAGACCTGGCTGTTCATCTGTATCCTTTATCATATCCTTTAATAAACTGGTAAACATAGGTAAGTGTTTCCACGAGTTCTGTGAGCTGTTCTAGCAAATTAACTGAACACAAGGAGGGGTCCTCAGAACCTCTGATCTACATCCATAATAAATAAATGGGAAGCAACAGGATATATTGGAATATATGAGGAAGCAATTTGGTGTAAGACTAATTTGGCCTGACCTTGTTTTTCCAAAAGAGCCTGACGTGGCCTTTGAACATGCATTGTATATCTGCTTTAAGCATTTACCATGTCCCAAAGCCAAGAACAAATGCCCTTAAGATAAGGATGCAACTTCCTTCACATTGGCATTTCCTTAAGGATAAACATTTCTTCCTAGGCTAGGATTTTATTGCTGTGCTCATCCTGTGCCTATCGAGACAGCACACCTTATATCTGCTGCATCCATCAATCGCTGTGCACTCTTGTAAAAGGGACATTGCGATCATATGTGATACATGCCCTTTGACGGTATGTAACAGTTCTGTACACCCCACTCCTTTGGTGCCTTTCCCTCCTTGGGGAAGGAAGGCCCCAGGCTATATGGTCCTCAAATTGGCTCATAATAAACTCACCCCAATTTTGATTTATAGACTGGTTATGGATTATTTGCCTTGACAGCCAGCTGGTGAGAGGAAGCTCGGCTTGCGACTGGTGTCTGAAGTGTGTATGTGTGTGGGGTGGAGGGGGCAGTCTTGTGGGACTGAGCCTTTAACCTGTGGGATCTGATACTATCTCTTTGGTGACCAGAAGTGTCAGAAGTGAAGTGTTTTATGTGAGTAGTAAAGGAGACTCACAGGGAAGAAACACACACTAGGAAAGAACTGGGTTTTTCTCTACATAGGAAGGAAAAATATGAGGTTTTCTCTTTACAGACCCGTAAAGTGAGGTGAAAGTTTCTGGGCTGATTGAGGCCTGACTTGAGGAAACAGAATTCTGCTCTATACCCAGCCTGATTGGCACCTAGAAGCTGCTGTAAATTTTGTCCCTGTATAAGAACTGAGGATCTGAGTTGCATTTGAAGGTGCAGAATGGACTCTCCAGTGCATTCATAGACAGAGATCTGGGAAAGACATAGTCAAAGGAAATAAATCAAACTTTGAGAAGGAATCATGGGTGCATTGCCAATCTGCCTGGGGCTCTAGCAGAGAAACTTGTGTGAAGATTGTGTATATGTGTGTGTGTGAACATATTTTAAATTAATGAGTAAAAGAATTAACGGATGAGTGAACAAGCACATGAATTAGAAAATACGTACCTCTTCCCTTCCTCAGCTCTGCTGAAATGAGAAAAATGGCAGGAACTGGGGTCTGGTTGTCACCAGGAAAGACCAGGCGGCCTGTCTCTCACGAGGTATTAGACTCACAGACATTAACTCACAAATGTACCAAGGTCTGGTTTTTTTTTTTTTTTTTTGGTGCGGAAGATTGGCCCTGAGCAACATCTGTGCCAATCTTCCTCTATTTTGTATGTGGGTCGCTGCCACAGCATGGCTTTGATGAGTGGTGTAGGTCCGTGCCTGGGATTCAAACCCACGAACCCGGGCCACAAAAGCAGAGCATGCCAAACTTAACCATTATGCTACCAGGCTGGCCTCCAAGGTCTGGTTTTAAGCCAAGAAGTCTTTTTTTCAATATGAAGTGTAATGTCTTATTAAAATGAATGCATAATTTTTTCTGTTTTCTCAAACTCTGCCAGAGATTGAGATATAAACCCAGTGCCTTGGTATTAATTTGCATTGGGAGAGGACTGCCAAGGGGACTGCAATATTCTAGTGACCCTCAAACATATGGTCTTCAGGCCATCCACTTCATTATCTCTTGGGATATGTGATTAAAAATGCCCCTATAGATTCAGTATATTTGGAAGTATAGTCTGGAGTCCTACATTTGAGAACTATTGATGTAGGCTGATCTCTTTGGCTAGCTAAGTTTTAACTGGAACATCTACGCTGTTGTAAGAACTGGTCCTCAGCTAAGAGGGCTTGGAAGCTCCACTGTACAGAATTCTTTCAATGAGAGGTCTGTTGGTCAATATGCTATCTTCCTTGAATTGTTCTCCAATGGATAAGTTTCCCTCTCTACGTTTCCATTGATAACCCAGCTTCCTTTTGCCTTACTCATGCTTGCTCTGGCCTGGAAATTTTACTCTCCTGTTTGGGTAGATTTTGTTTGCTTGTTAGTTTTACTTTGGTGGATTCAAACATATGCACTCTTATTTAATCTCCTTTTTCTAGTGTTTTAGTGGTTATGCTAAAAATTACATACATAATTAACAAAGTTCCCAGCTAATAGCTCTTTTTATTCCCATACATGGACTTTAAAATGCTTTTACTCTTCTAACTCCTCCCCAATACACGGATTATAGTTGTCCAGTATTTAAGTTGCATCTTGGATGGTTTTTATTTTTTAACCTCAAATTAAACACTATCATTTTTTTCAGATAACATTGTTTGAATAGGCCCAAATGTTTGCTGTTTCTTTGCATCCTAGATATTGTTACTGGGATTATTTTTTCCCATAAGTACATTCTCTATAAATTTCTTTCATGTGAATTATTCATAATCTATTTATTATTTATTTATATAAAAATGTCTTCATTTCAGCCTCATTCTTAAAGAATAGTTTTGCTGGCAGTACAATCCAACCAATTTTTTTCCAGCACTTTGAAAGTATTTTCCCATCTTCATCAATTACTGTAGTCATAGCTGATTTCTATTTCTTTTATCATTATAATTTAAGTGCCAACATCCATCCATCTATTTTGATTTTTTTTTTTTAATTTTGGTTGAAGTAGTCTACCACATTGGAAAAATCTTAAGATTTGGTTACATGACCTCTCTGATCTTGTTTACTGTCTCTGTAGACCAGAGTTATTAATATCTTTTTGATAGAGTCGTGAGAGTTAAATTAGGTGAGCTAGTGTAGGTAAAACGGGGGCCTTTGGTAGTTCCTCAACAAATTGTATTTACTATTAGAGAACTTTGCATATTTCACTGTAATTATTTCGTGATGTCTCTGCAGGGGTGAGTTCATGCAAGGCGGTCAATAAACACGCAATGATTCAGTAGTCAAGGAATCTCGCATTGGTACAAACATATAAGCAGTTTCAACCCTGAAGTGGCTGGACCTTCTGGATGCACTGACATAGAGCAGGAGGATGGGCAAGAATGATCCATGAAATGTTCATAACACTGTAAAACCCTGCCTTTTTGAGTAAGGACGTTTGTCATCTATTGGCTAACCTTTGGCGTGGAAAATTACTCAGTAGTTCTCTCAAAAACACTACGTGAATACATTAGGTTATGTTACAAATATTAAATAAAATAAACAAGCTGGTATTTTTCTGAGGTCTTTTTTGTGCTTTCATAAATCATAACATACCTTTATTGTTTTTAAATTTAGCAAGCGTAACTCCCCTTGGCTTTGGAGGATGATGATGCAATGGTAGTGATTAATACTATAATTATAGCTTAAGTTTCTACAATTTCTTATCCCCTAAAGGTTTGCAAAATCTTGGCTTGCTATCATCTACAGATACTCTGACTACCACATACTTCAAAGAGCTATAAATGTATAAACCAGTTGCTAATAACTGTGCTTTAATGAGGGCCAGAAACAGAAGAGTCAACCCAAATGGAACTGGAGGCCAGAGATTTGGAGTCAAGATATAATTACCTTTGGACTCCCAGCCCAGTGCTCAAGTTTCAGGAAGGATAATTCTCTGTACTTGTAAAACATGGAATCATGTATATTTAAGGATTGGAAAGGGCTCATGGAAATTAATGCTATTCCAATCCCTCTTCTCACAAATGGGGAACTAAAGACTTGCTGAAGAAAATGGACTTTTCAAAACTTGACAATAAAGTAGTGGCAAAGCTGGGAAGTGGAGCCTAAGTAATCCTATTATCTTCCTGTTGAGGGTTCTTGATTACTCTGGACTCCACAGAGAGAGCCTTCTCACTGACCCATGCTCTTTGAAGGCTGGTGCAAGGGGTTGGAAAAGTCATTTATTCAGCTCACATTGACTTGGGGCTTGCAATATGCATCAGAAACAATAACACACTGGGAATCAGAGATGACCTGCACACAGACTCTGCCCTGGTGGATTGGAATAATAATAGCTGCAATGCGTTGTTCACTATATGCTGAGCAGCATTCTAAGTCCTTTGAACACACACACACACACACACACACACAAGTATATGTGTGTGTATATATATATATATATATATATATATATATATATATATATATCCATTTGTGTTTATAACTACCCTGAAAAGGTGAGGTACATACTGAGTACTCAACGCATATTTTCAAAATTAAATATTATTACATCATTTCAATTAAACTTTTTATTTTGAGATCATTGTATACTCACACGCACTTGTAAGAAATAATGCAGAGAGATCCTGGGTACTATCTTTTTAGTCTCCCTCAACAGTAGCATCTTGCAATACTACAACCAGGTAACTGACCTCGATACAATCCACCTATATTGTTCAGGTTTCCAAAATTTTATATGTACTCACTTGTGTGTGTGTGTATGTGTGTGTGCGCTTAGTTCTATGTAATTTTATCGCATATGGAGGTTCGTGTATCCACCACCACAGTCAAGAAACAGCAGTTGATCAACATGAGCGGAGGAACACATCCACCTCCCACATTCCATCACCATCTCCAACCCCGATGCCTGGAAAGCAGTAATCAGTTCTTCATCTCTTCAAGATTCCCATTCAGAAATGTTATATAAATGGAATCATACAGTGTATAGCCTTTTGGGATTAGCTTTTATTTTTACTTTGAGATTCATCCAAATTGTATAAACAGTTAATTTTGTTTTTATTGCTGAGTAATATTCCATGGTATGGATGTACCACAGTTTGTTTAACCATTCCCCATTAAAGGACATCTGGACTGTTTCTAGTTTTTGGCTATTACAAATAAAGCTGTTATGAATACTCGTGTATAGTTTTTTATGTGCACATAAATTTTCATTCTCGGGGATAAACGCCCAAAAGTACAATTGCTGGGTCATATGGTAATTGCATGTTTAGTTTAATAAGAAACCACCAAATTCTTTTCCAGAGTGGCTGTGTCATTTCAGATCTTCTCCAGCAACATCTGACTGATCAGTTTCTCCACATCCTCACCAGCATTTGATATTTATTATACTGTTTTTGATCATGTAACTGAGACACAGGACAGTCAAGTCACTCCAGTTATTCATTCATTAAGTATTTGTTGAGCCAAACACCACTCTATGTGCTAAGGATACAGCCGCAAATAAAACAAAAATCTCTGGCCTTGTGGAACATATTCTAGTGAAGAAGATGGGCAATTCATACAAGGAAGGTAAATAGTAAAATTCACAGTATGTTACAGAGTGATGAGCTCTAAGGACAATAATTGAGTAGGAAAGGGGGAGTGGGATTTTTTGGGTAGAATTTCAGAAAGGGTTGGCTGTGAAGGTGGCTTTTAATAAAGACCCGAGGAAGTAAGAGGACCAGCCTTCTGCACATCTGAAAGAAGCACGTTCCAGGCATAGAGAACAGCAAGTACACAGTCCTGATGCTAGGGCTGACCTTGGTGACTTTCAGGGACCTCGAGGGTCTCTGGAGGCTGGAGTGAGGTGATGCAGTACAGGAGGTGAGAGGGGGTCTGCTCACCTAAGTCCATGTGGGTTTTGGGAATGCTTCTCGATATTCCCACCCTTAGGCAGCTTTGTCATAAACACCTTTGCCACAAGCATTTTTTAAATTTTATTTATTTATGTATTTATTTTGGTGAGGAAGACTGGCCCTGAGCTAACATCTGTGTCCATCTTCCTCTGTTTTGTATGTGGGATGCTTCCACAGCATGGCTTGATAAGTGTTGTGTTGGTCTGCACCCAGAAAATGAACCTGTGAACCGCGAGCCACCGAAGCAGAGCATGGGAACTTAACAACTACACCACTGGGCCGGCCCCACCACAAACACTTTTGCTGCAAACATTTTTGCAGCATAACTAATTGACTGTAAGGCAATTTTGCCGTAAAATGAAGAATATAAAAGGGACCTTCAAAAGGACATAATGGAACATGACAAATTAATAACAATATTAAAAAGTCTATCACAAAATATGACAATACAAAAAAATATTTGAGTACATGTAAAATATGTGTAGATTCATGGCAAATACTGTGCAAATATTTGATTCTATTGTGTGGATTATATCTAAGCACTTGCCTTCCAAGTCTTTCATTCATAGGATCATACTTTTATTTTTTTGGCTTATTGATTCGTCTCCTCCTTGGGTATCACATTTTTTCTTTTTTGCTCAAATTTCTTCCTTTGTGAAGAGAGGTATCATTTTCCTGGATGCGTGTTTGTAACTGAACTTTGTATTGCATTGGGACTGCAAGAATTTGCAAACTGATGTGTTGTCATTTTCTAGCATGGTATGCAACCTGGCTCGACACTCTCTTCTTATTTCACACTTGTAGTAACTTTTATCACCAAAATGAAACCAAACTATCAACCAGTTATTTTATCTTTTTTTATGGCAAAATTGACTTATGGCCAACTAGTTATGTGGCAAAAATGTTTGCAGCACAAATGTTTATGGCAGATCTGCTGCGGCGAGGATACTGGACATGATTGAGAATAACTTTAGGTTTTACTCTGAAGGAGACTGAGAGCCTCCAGTGGGTTTTGGGCACAGGAATGACTTCATATAACTGTGTTTTTACAGGATCATGTTGGCATTTTTATTCAACATCCCATAACTAAGAAGCAAAAGAACCTGGAAGACCTCAGGCTCTAGTAGAGAAGAGGCAAGCAGCATTAAATAAGAGTACCAGGTGGTAAATGACACTCTGGAGATGTTATGAACAAGCTGAAGGAGAGAGGAGGGAGGGACCATCTCTACTTCCCTTTGCCGCCCATCTGCCTGCTCATCAACTTTCAGGTGGGGAGCAAGAGCAGCCACAGATCATCGCTGCCCCCTCTCTCCTCCATCATGTTCCTGCATCCCTCCTCTTTCTGCCTCTCCTCTTTCTCCTCTTTGATTTTTATCCTTCGTCCAGGTCTTTTCTTTAAGGAAACAAGGTTAAGGGCAATCTGTAAATCTAAACTCTAAAGGAGCCTCTCTCTTGCCTTTCTCCTTCTGATAACTATTAAAATGATAACATGAATGAACCACTGACTTCTCTCAACTGCCAAGGCTAGAGGCTCAGAGAACACCTCCTCTTTCAGCTCCGTTTTCCCATTTGTTGTTAACTACAAAGAGCCTTTTGCTGCCCACTCAGACAGAGACTACTGGATTATGAAATAAATCAATTAATGATGCCCACCTCGCCTACCTCACTGGGGTGTAGTGAAGATCAAAGAAGATAGCATATGTAAAAGTGTTACTAGATGATCACATGTGAGATTATAATTTACTACTATTTTAAAAATAATTAATTTTACAATGATTTCAAACTTACAGAAAAGTTGGAAGAACAATATGAGGAACTTCTATACTCTTTGCACATGGTTGTTTGTTTGCAGGGGATGCTGTAACAAAGTACCACAGACTGGACGGCTTAAACAACGGAAATGTATTGTTTCATGGTTCTGGAGGCTGGAAGTCTGAAATCAAGGTGTAGTAGGCAGGGTTGCTTCCTTCTGAGGGCTGTGAGGGAAGGATCTGTTCCAGGCCTCCCTCCTTGGCTTGTAGGTGGCCATCTTCTTATGTCTCTTCACATAGTCATTTCTCTACGCGTCTCTGTGTCAACATTTCCTCTTCCTGTGTGGACACTGGTCATATTGGATTAGGTCTCATACTAATGACCTCACTTTAACTTGATTAGCTCTGTAAATATCTTATCTCCAAATAAGGTCACACTGAGTTACTGGGGGTTAGGACTTGAACATATGAATTTGGAAGGGGTGTACATAATTCAACCTATGACATACGGATTCCCCACATTTACTCTCTCCCGTCTTCTTTCTTTTCTCCCCACACCCATTGTCATTACTCATTTTCTGAATCCTTTGAGAGCTACAGAAGATACGATGCCCCCATGACTCCTTAATTCTCCAGTGTGAACTTCCCCCGGACTCTCCTACACCACCAGCAGACAAACCTCTAAATCTGAACATCAACCTTGATAACAGCACTATCATCCAATCCACATACCCCATGCACATTTCACCAATGGTCTCCACAGTGTCTTGTTTGTTCTTCTGGCCAAAGAATCTATTCAGGAATATGTTGCTTTTAGTTGGTAGATCTCATCACTCTCTTTCAGTTTGGAACAGTTGCTTGGCCTTTCTCTGTCCTTCATGTTCCTAGCAGATTTTAAGAGCACAATCCTTTCATTTTGTAGGACAACTTTCAACCAGAGTCTTCCTGATGTTTCCTTATGAGCTAATGTAGGCAGTGACATCTTGATAATAATACCACAGAAATTACACTGTTTTCTTCTCAGTGACTTACATTGGGAGACATGGTGTTGACTGATTCCACCATTGGTCATGTAAACCTTAATCACCTGGTCATAGTGCTAAATGACAGATATCCCCACAGTGAAGTCGCCATTTTTCCTTTGTAGTTGATGAGTATTTGGGGGGTAGATATTCAAAGAATACTCTGAAATCTTATTTTTCCCAGAACTCCACCTACTGCCTTAGCATCCATTGATAACTTCTGCCTAAATCAACTCCGACTATGATGATAGTCACACTCCGGGTGGTGATTTTTGTATTTCTATCATTCCTTCTACATTTATTAGTTGGCGTCTTACTACAAAGAAGAAATATCCCTTCACCCCATTTATTTATATGTGTGTTTGCTTTTTTGTTTGTGTCAGTGTGGACTCATGAATTTCAATTAATTCAATGGGTTGTTATATGTTACTACTGCTATTTATCTCAATGCTTAAATTGTCCCAACTTTGGTTATTGGGAACACCTTCTAACTGACTCCTCCCATCACTATTGTCCTGTCTTTGCTCTAGAAACTCTCAATGGACAGAGGTAGGAAAAAATATATGTATGTATGTATATGTATATGTATGCATAAATACATATATGGATGCATATATACATATATGCTTATACATATGCTTACATCTATACATACATGTGTATATATACATATACATATACAAGTTCATGACAATCTATGGCTGTTTTTAAACAACCGCAAATTTGTTGTCACCCCTCCCATCAATGGGTAAGTTTATGACCCTTTCCTTTGAATCTGGGTTAACTTGTGGCACATGTGTAACTAGATGAATATGGCAGAAATGCTACATGGTTGCTGAGGTCAGGTCAGAAGAGGCTATGCTGCTTCCACCTTGTTCACCAGAATACTTCCATAGGATCCCTGGGCTAGCATGTAAGAAGCTCAACTATCAATTCCTAAGGAGGGATTCCAGCCCCCTGCAGTCAGGTCACCCCCAACCATCAAGTCTTCCCAGCTGAGGCCCCAGACATCATGGACCAGACATCATGGAGCCTTTTGTGCTTGCCTGGATTCCTGACCCACAGGATATGCCAACAGAAAAAGTGATAGTTTTGTGCAACTAAATTTTGGGATAGTTTTGTGCAACTAAATTTTGGGATGGAACAACTTCCAATTCTTGAACCTCAGGGTTCTTTCTAGATTTCTTCCTTTCAATGTTTATAAGTTATTTTTCCAACACTGAGAAAACTGGCTGTCATTGTTCTCAAAATATTTACTCATTTGCTCAACCATTTGACTTATTTGCTTAATGTAAGCAATCTCCCAACCACACTGCCTTTGTTTTCTGCCCCTCTTCTGCCCCACTGGCCACTGGCCACACCACTACCTTCATGTGCTCCCTCTACTGCACACACACATCAGCACCTCCAGGCAGCCAGGCGTACTGATTCCTCTGTGCCCCCACTCCCATCCCCATTTCATTTCCTTACAGGACATGCTGAAGGAAAGCAAGAGGGAAGAAAGGTGGGAAGAGGGAAGAGAAATTCTGTTGTTATTTTATTATAGCTATAAGGAATTCAAGGTCCAGATTTAGGCAACAGTTGAAGAATTATAGCTATACAGACATTGGTATAGTGTCCACTCTGATGCAGTATATAAAAGACACTTAACTGTAAAACTTATCATGAGTGAGTTTCACTATACATTTCCATAGCTGTGTCCTCCACCCTCTGACTTTCAGCTCCTTGCTTATCCAAGAGTCTGCTTTTCATTTCACTTGTGTACTGTCTTCATTAGAGCTGCCCTTCATTGCCTCCGTGAGTTTTCAGTTTGCTAGGCTAGTTTCAAACTGAAGGCAGAGAAGGCTGGTAAGGAGAGCATAGCACGCTCTTCTTGGATAACCCCCAGAAGTACCTGGACGAGACTCTATGAGGGACTGGGGATTGCACAACAGTGGGTGGGAGTGAGAGCCAGAGGAATTCTTTTTATTACGCACAAAATGACCCTGTTTTTACAACCTTAAGAGCAGCTCGTGTAATACATACGCACTTTGAAAAGGAGAGTGTTGTTTATCAAATGTGTAGTCTTTCTTTGTAATGTAATAGAACTGGATTTGAATCCTGGTGTACATTTTACTAGCTCTGTAGTCTTAGAATCATTTCCTTCTCTTAGTCTCAGGTTCCTTTTTGATAAAAAATGGACTAATTCTTACCCTACAGAATTGGAACCTAGAAAGTTACAGAAGTGTTCTTTAGACTTTCTAGTGAGTTTTTTACAAAGAAAAGATCTTCATTAAACCATTTTTTTTTTTTTTTGTCATTTGATCCCTGTAAACTCGATGTTGTATGGACTCTTAGTTTGTGTTCATGTGTATGTCCCATTGAATGTTGAGTCTAGAGATACAGATTCTATTCCTGATTCCAGAAAAAAGCCAAGTGCTCAGTATTTGTCTTTGTGGAAGACCCTTCCTAGCCAAGGCTCTCAGCTTCCCACATTTATATTAAGAGTCTGGACTATCTTACATTCCCAAGTCTGAGTTCCCATTAGAAACAGCTGGTGAAATTTTCAAAACTACAAATTCCCCTGGTGTCATCTAGACTTAAGGAATCAGAATATGCACAGTGGAGGCCTACTTATCTGTGTTATTCAAAAGCTCTGATGTAGTTTATGATGTAGGCAGCCCAGCTAACCCCCACTAGATGATCCAAATATGGTCTTAGAGAGACGACATGGCATGGTAACTAAGGGCTCTGTTTCTGGGGACAGATAGGCTTAGATTCAAATATCAGCCCTTCCACATACTTAACTGGGTGACCTTGGGCAAGTCTTTTAAACATCTCCCAGCCTTGCCTGTTAGATTGCCCCCTTGAAATTGATCCAATTGCTTCAAATTCCCAAATTGGCCAGTAGAAATCCCAAGACCTGTCCAAAGTTTATACAAATCCCTGGAAGAGGTTTAGTTTCCCATGGGATCTAATATTCTGCCTACGATCTCTTCCCCTCATTGCGTTGATCTAGGCATCATTTTCCCCTTTAGATTATATAGCAGTAACAACAAAATCATTCACCCCAGCATGCATAAGTTTGGTAGACTTTACTGGAGAAATTTGGGGGCTTCCCTGAAAGGCTCTCACAGACCTCTGTCATCACCAGGCTCCCTGCTTCTCTGTTTCCTTCTTTTCCTTTTCTCCCACTCACCCTCTCCATCCTGCAAAGCACTGAGCACCCTAAAAGCAGGGCATTGTCACTTTTTTTAGGTTTTCATACCAAACGTGCATATCCAAAGCTGTCCAAGTTTCCAGAAGAACAAAGCTCTTTCTATCTGACAGACTTCACCCTCCTTTGAATGCAGTTGTGGTTTGGGGATAGCAAGCAGACACTCTTGGTTTGCTGTCTGTCTTTGTTTTTGCTCTTGTTCAACATGTAAAGCCCTCCGCACACTTCTGGCACCCGTGGCTTTATGATCATGTGTGACACAGCTCCGCAGATGCGGCCAGCCACTCTCTCCTTCTGGAGATGTCACTCTCTCTATACCCACCCAGGCGACTCCCATGTCTTCTTACGGGAAACCAGCTGGTATCCAACACTCTCCTCTAATCCAATTTAGTCTGTAAATACAAGCATAGCAGGAGAATGGTATCGGAGTAATAAGGGTTCAAAAGTCTAAAATCTGGCTCTAAAACAACAATGATTGCTAGCATTAACTGAGTGCCAACCAGGTACTTCCTGTACTGTTTCTTTCATCTTCACAAGTGTCTTCATGCGTTTTTTTCCATGGAAGGAAACGGAAGCTCAGGGAGATTAAGAGACTGAGTCAGAATTTGAATTCAGGGCATGTCACTACAAAACCTTGGCTTCTTCTACCTCACCACGTTCTCTTACAAATAATTAACAGAGAGGTCTGACCTCTGTTACATTGCAAAGATATTAACTCATCTAACAGGCATCATTGATATACACAGACATCTAATAATGAAATAATTGTAATTTAATGATAATACTTTCTTTGTTCTTTGATAGTTAAACTTAATTGAAGTTTATCTGTAACTACATATAGCATGCCCTTGTCAAAAACATAGGCAATTTAAAAAAGAAAATAAAAAATGATTTGATGTTTCCCTACATCTTAGTGACTAAGTATATTAAGTAGAACTGATTAACTCTGTGTAGATTAGTCAGAAAAAAATGGCAAGAAAAATAGTATCTTGGGAAAAATGTAGTTGATTCACATATTTGAGGCTTTGTGACTCAAAGAGATAGATATAAATATTTGTGGCAGTTCCTAGCTTAATAATTTTTAGTATAAACACATGAAGACTAGCATTGTCCTTAAATTTCTCACTTGTAAATTCAATTTGGTAAAAGAACAGGTAGAGAGAGGAATAAAATGGAAAGAATACATGGAAAATATATATCAGAGAGACCAGTCATAGATACAACTGACATTTATGTATTACTTTACAGTCTATAAAATACACATTTATTGGCTCATTCCCTCCTCATAACATGGAGAAAGTCTTATTTCATCCTTTAATGGATGAGAAAACTTAGGCTTAGAGAGCCACACAGGGTTGCTCGAAATGACTCAGTCGGTAAAGGACAGACCAGGAATTAACCTGGAGCCTTCTGTCACTAAATGCCATCTTCCTGACATTATATCATTTTAGAAGGAAGTAGATAAATAAGTAAGTATAAGGTTTGGCTGTAAGCTACACAATGTTTAGTAGGCCAAACATCAGGTTTATCAATAGCAAAAAAAAAAAAATCAATAGGAACTGCAGTTCAATTATTCATTCAGTTACTATTTATTTAGTTTCCACTTTATGCTAGAAAAATGGCAGTGGGTATCTAGGAGGGAATAAGACACAAGGTCCCAATCTCCCCGGGGCTGGCAGACAGACAGGGAAGGTAGCAATTAAGGCTTTGCCCAGTTTTAGATCCATTAGAAAGAGTAGAAAACTAACACTGAGATCTATGTTGATGTCAGTCTCCCACTGTTTTTATCAGCAAATTCCAGGATGAGAAGCACGTGCAACCCCAAGCTGCCCTGTGCAAGAGTCTGCAGCAGCAGCATAGACATTAGTGAAACGCAGTATCCAACCTGTTTTCTCCCACCCTGTGGTTTCCATGGTCTTGTGTCTGACAGTGGTACCTTTTGTTCAAACACGCCAAACCTTGATCTACTCACAAAGGTTTACCAGAGACTTGTGTAATATAGACACTCAACACTTTGCTGTTTTATTTATTTATTTACTTTTTGCTGAGGAAGATTCACCCTGAGCTAACATCTGTGCCAGTCTTCCTCTATTTTGTACATGGGTCACTGCCACAGCATGGCTGACGAGTAGTGTAGGTCCATGCCCAGGATTTGAACCCGCAAACCCAGGCAACTGAAGGAGAGCATGTGAAACTTTAACCACTAGGTCATGAGGCAGGCCCCTTCATTTTATTTTATTTTTTATTCATTTATTTATTTTGTGAGGAAGATCAGCCCTGAGCTAACATCAGATGCCAATCCTCCTCTTTTTTTTGGCTGAGGAAGATTGGCCCTGGGCTAACATCCACGCCCATCTTCCTCCACTTTATGCGGGACGCCGCCACAGCATGGCTTAACAAGCAGTGTGTCGGTGCACGCCCGGGATCCAAACCTGCCTACCCTGGGCCGCCAAAGTGGAGCACGCACACTTAACCACTGCACCACCAGGCCGGCCCAAGGCCCTTTTATTTTTCAATCAAAGAAAAAGAAGCTTATTAGAGACTCTGCAGCCCATTGTCTCTAGACGCTTAGGGAAATCCATTTCCAAAACCTTCAACATTTAACACAGATGAGGTTTCCTGTTTTCAAGTTTTTCTTTTAGTATTTTTTCTTTAATAAACGATATGTATTAAAATACTTTTTTAGGTATTGATGCATACATACAAAATAACATATGTCAGCTGTATGTATGTATAAAGAACAACAATACAAGCAGCACTTTTGAACTCAGCACCCAACGCAAGGGCGAGGACTTGACCTTTTATTCACGCCTACCTGTGCAGTCCTCCCCATCCAATCCCACTGTTTCATTGTGTATATGAAAATATTTTAAAAGGTTAACAGTATCATAAGACTTTTAACAAAAAATAATCTTTTGCCCCTTCTCACCAGTGAGTCCTTCCCTGAAGCTCACAATTTCAAAATCTTTCTTTGGGTATTTGCTTCCATTTTTTCTAAATTATGCAATATATATTTTTAGGCCTAATTCTAGACATTATTCACTGACTTTTAACTATATGGGGTGAAGATTTGGCTGCCATCTTCCAAAGTGCCCCACGCCCATCCCTTGCCCAACACATAAGCGCATTTTCCTTCCCTTAACTTTTCAAGATAGTTCTATCACATTTTAAACTAAATCAACGTTTAGTGTTTATATTATCAGACTATGTAAATATTTTCAGAGCTGAGCCATGATAAAACATAATTATTTCCTTTCTTTGTATAAATTTTCTTTCCCTCAGGTTTAAAATTGCCTCAATAATCCATTTGTTCAGGGATTTTTTTAAGCCTCCAAATATCCATCAGAACATAAAACTTTTATTATTTTGGTTAAAAACAAAACAAAAAATGGACGTATGTATGTTTGTATGTACGTAGCTATGTATGTGTCTTTCTATCTGTCTATCCATCTACCTATCATCTACTTTTACCCCTTGGAGACCTCTCTCCTGGAGCCCACTATCCTTGGGTTCTAGTCCTGACTGACTACTAACTGCTCTCCAGCCTTTTCAAATGGCTCTTACCTTGGACCTTCCTTTCATCATCATTATGGGCACAGCTTTGATCTTCTCTTCCATAGAGAAGCCACTGTTTTCTGAATCCTATCCTTTTCTTGTTTACATTTTGGTCCCTTATTTTGTTGGGACACATGAGCTTTCTGTGTAAGGTTAATTTTTTGAGTCCCTGCATATCTCAGCCTGTGATTATTTTACTTTTACATTTGAATAAGAGTCTAGAAATTAAATGTTAGACATTATAATTTTCAAGACTTTGCTCCATTTTCTTTTAGTGTCTGGTGTTCTGTTGGTAACTGTGATGACATTTTGATCCCCAATACTGAATGGGACATTTTCTCAACAATATTTTTCAGTTCGACTTGAAAATATTTTTGAGGGGCAATCAAGATTTTAATTTCTAATAACTTTTTTTGTTCTCAGGTCATTCGTTTTTATAGCATCATATTTTTGTTTTGTGGGTGTAAGGATTGCTTTTGCAATTATTCTGAGCCTCTAATTATAGTTTTACATTTGGGGTTTTGTCTTTTATGTTAGAACCTGTCCTCAAATGCCTGGGAATACTTGATTATCCATTTATATTTAGGGATAAAGACTAAAAATCTGGTCTGGGTGCGGTGTGTTGATTATTGGGTTGCCCTCTCTGCATGGTGATCTAATAGCGACCCCTTTGTTTCCCTGGGATCATTTAAAGTCATTACCTCTTGTTGATTCCTCTGGGCCAATCAGGATCCCCAGGGAGGAAACCCCCTGCATCCCCTCCCACCCCATCTTCTGTCTGCCTTTTAGTTCGCTAAAAAAGATAGGGAGAGTGTGGTCACCCTCAGAATAGTCACTTAATTTCCTTATTTTCAAAGTGGTATTTTGCCTGTACCCTCTCCTTGACTGGCTTTTCCACTTTAAAGCATCCCTCATTCTAA